AATCCTGGAAAATATTCCATGTGCATTTGGAAAGAACGTGTATTCTGTGTTTTTTGGATGGAATGTTCTATATATATCCACTAAGTCCATCTGGTCAAATGTGCCATTTAAGGCCAGTGTTTCCTTATTGATCTTCTCTTCCAATTATCTATCCAATGGTGTAAATGGGATGTTAAAGTCCCCTACTATTATTGTGTTACTGTCTATTTCTCCTTTTATGTCTGTTAATAATTGTTTTATATATTCAGGTGCTCCTATGTTGGGTGCATAGATATTTACAAGTGTTATATCTTCTTGTTGGATTGTTCCGTGTATCATTCTGTAGTGCCCTTCTTTGTCTCTTGTTACAGTTTTTGTTTTAAAGTCTATTTTGTCTAAGTATTGCTATGCCTGATTTCTTTTCTTTGCCATTCGCATGGAATATCTTTCCATCCTTTCACTTTCAGTTTGTGAGTGTCTTTAGGTCTGAAGTGTGTCTCTTGTATGCAGCACATATATATGGGTCTTGGTTTTTTATCCAATTGGCCACCCTATGCCTTTTGATTGGAACATTTAGTCCATTGATATTTAAAGTAGCTATTGATAAATATGTATTTATTGCCATTTTGTTACTTTTTTTCTGGGTGTTTTAATAGTTCTTCTCTGTTCCTTTCTTTTTCTCTTGGTCTCTTCCCTTGTGGTTTGACGGCTTTCTTTAGTAATATGCTTTTGTCTTACTTATTTGCTTACTTATTATAGGTTTCTGATTTGTGATTACTATGAGGATCCTTTATAATATTCTATGTATATAACAGTCTATATTGAGTTGATAGACTCTTTAGCTTGACCTCTTTTTAACAGCTCTACTTTTTCACTCCCCTTCTCCTACATTTTATGTTTTTGAAATCACATCTAATCTCTTGTTTTGTGTGTGTCTATCCATTATCCTTTTATCTTTGAAATAGGTAATTTTAGTACTTTTGTCTTTTAATCTTCATATTATCTTCACAGGTGGTTGATCTGCTACCATTACTATGTTTTTACCTTTACCAGTGATTTTACTGCCTGGTTTTTTTGGATAACTTTTTATCTTTATTTGTGGTCATCACTTTCCCACTTAAATAAGTCCTTTCAGCATTTCTTGTAGAACTGGTTTCTTGATGATAAACTCCTTTAATTTTTGCTTGTCTGGGAAGCTCTTTATCTCTCTTTCCATTCTGAATGACAACCTTGATGGATAAAGTATTCTTGGCTGTAGGTTTTTTCCTTTTAGTATTTTAAATATGTCATGCCATTCTCTTCTTGCCCGTACAGTTTTAGCTGAGAAGTCCGCTGATAGCCTTATGGGCTTTCCTTTGTATGTCACTTGTTGCCTTTCTCTTACTGCTTTTAGGATTCTCTCTTTATCTTTAATTTTGGACATTTTAATTATAATGTGTCTTGGTGTGGGCTTTGGGTTTACTTTGTTTGGAGCTCTCTGTGCTTCCTGTACTTGGATGTCTGTTTCTTCCTTAGGTTAGGAAAATTTTCAGCTATTATTTCGTCAAATAAATTTTTTTCCCCTTTGTCTCTCTCTTTTCCTTCTGGGACTCCTATAATACAAGTGTTAGTGTACTTGATATTGTCCCAGAGTTCCCTTAGACTGTTCTCATTCTGTCTAATTCTTTTTCTTTTTTCTGTTCAGCTTGGGTGATTTCCTCTAGTCTTTTGTCTAGCTCACCGATCCATTCTTCTGTATCCTCTGCTCCACTACTGAGTCCCTCTAGTCAATTTTTCATTTCCAGTATTGTATTCTTCATTTCTGATTGGTTCTTTTTTATATTTTCCAGTTCTTTCTTGATGAGCTCACTGTGTTGATCTAGTCTTATCCCAATATCTGTGAGCATCCTTATGAGTTTTTGTTTGAACTCTTTGTTGGGTAGGTCACTTATTTCTGTTTCATTTAGTCCTTTTTCTGGGGTTTTGTCCTGTTCCCTTGCTTGGAATGTATTCTTTTGTCTCCTCATTATGCCTCTTTCTCTGTGCTTATATTACTGTATTAGGTGAGTCGGCCCTCCTGATCTTGGAGAAGTGGCCTTATATAAGAGATGCCTTTTCAGACCCAGCAGTGTGCTTCCCTCTCATGACCAGTCCAAATGATCAAGGAGTGACCCCTTTGTGGGCTACTTGTGTCCTTCTGTTGTGGCAGGGTTGGTCTTAATGCAGGTACCCAGGGAGTCTAGTCTTTCCTTCCCTGGCCAGCTGTTTGTAAATCCGGTATGGGAAGCCTCAGCACCGTTGGCTACAAGGTCTAACAGCACACTCCTGTTGCAGTTTTCCTGTTAATTGGGTAGATATTCAGTGTAGCTGGTTGCTAGGCTCAGGGGCCTACAGTTGGTATAGGCCTCAGGCCTACAAGGCTGTTGTCAGTTCTCTTAGGAGTACAGCTGAGTGAGGCTGGCACAAAGCAAGGGAACACTCAATTGTTTCAGGTTTTGGAAGGTGGGGCTGATCCTTTTCATGCCTATTTGTGAAGCACAGGTCTTCTGCTGCTGATAAGCTTCACCCCCCACAGGACCACACACACCATCAACACAGTCCTGGTCCATGCACACTTCCCAACCCCCTGGAGTGTACTCTGATCCCCCACTGCAGAGGCCCCCACCTCTCCACCAATGCCCCCTACAGTTCACCTTGTCCTCAAACAGGCCCTGCTCCACAGAGGTAGGCACACTCACCTGCCTGTAGAGGATCAAGACATCCAGTCAAAACAGGCTGACAAGTAGCCTGAGGGTTTGCTCTTGGGTGGGGCCAGTCCCTAGGGTGGGCTGCTTGCCCTGGCTGAACTGGATTAAATCTGCACTCTAGTGGGTGTGGCAGACCCATGGGCTAACAGGCCAGGGGAAGAATTTCAATGGTGTCTACTGGGGTCTGTGTCAGCATGCCTGGACTAGGTCACAATAGCCACCACCAATGTCTCAGTCTCTGGAGAGGTCTCTCCTCTCACAGAGATGCACCCAGAGCTCACCAGGTACATCTCTTTTCACCAAAGGACTGTCAGACTTCTCTCTGGTGATTTTAGGTTGCTGAGATGAGTGAGTTTGTGTGTGGGCCCTTAAGACCCAGGTCTCTTTGGCTTTCAGCCAATAGCTTTTCTTGGGGTATCCCTGCTACAGTTAATAGCTAGAAAAACCAGATAGTAAGACCCTCCTCTCATTTGTGCTGAGTCTGAAGGATGCTTATGGCAGTATTGGCCCTCGCTCCAAACCTCAATCCTACACGGAGGGCTGGGTACCTTAAGGTGGCTTCCACCTGGCTGGCTGAGAGACTCTGCTGCTCCTTAAGATGGCTTATTTCCTCTCCAGAAGGAATTTCTGCTTCTTCTGCCTTACTCAGGACTGTCCCTTGTTGTGGGGGTTCTTTTTGTCCAGTTTTCAGTTTTCTATTAAGGGTAATTTTTCCAAAAAACTGAACTGATTGTGTTCATGGGAGGAGATGAGTTCAGAGTCTGCTTATGCCACCATCTTGATGAGATCTCAAGCCTCATTATTTTAAAATACTTGCCTTAACCTTTCCTTATACTTTGGCAAGGTCTGATACCAAATGGGTGTTTTCTGCACCTAGGCCTTAACAAGCATCCTACAATGATCTTCTTTCTTTCAAAAAGTAGTAAAAATAACGTGGAGCACAGATGTAATAACAGGGAAAAATGAATGGAAATTTAGCCATAGATCAATAGCCCATGAGCTCCAGATTCCATCTCATAAATGAGAACTGTCTTTCTTTGTTTGGTCTATAACACTGAGTTTATGTGAAAACATGTGAATATTAAATTAGTTACTGGAGAGTTCTGGGATTCTTTCCCAAATGAAATGAAGTCATAAATAATTCTAGAGATGTTTTATAATGAAAGTAGAATGAAAAGACAAAAAATATGCAACAAAGACTCTCTGCTCCATATTAAGAAGGAAAACATAATATAAATTGAGCTTAATTTCCTACATTTTCATTATCTTCATTGAAAAATGAGAAGATGAATAAGAATATGTCTTCATTTCAGCTACACATGAGCCTATAAGAATGACATGGTAAAATCAATTTAAGATGAGAGTGATTCTCTATCCAAAAGAACCAAGTTTTCTTTTGGAGGGCATGCCCAGACACCCTACTAAGTCTTGTCCTATATAGAAAGTAAGAGAACTTCATTTCTAAATCTGGTGTAGGTCACTGCTGTAACTTCCCATTAGAAAGCTATTGTTTAGTTAATTCCATATAATTTATCATTTTATTTCTGGCTCTTATAACGTAGAGGTAATCTGATACCAGGATAAGTAGGAATGTTGTCTATTCTTTACTAGTTAGATTAATTTGCTAGGACTGCCATAACAAGGTGTCACAGACTGGGTCACTTAAGTAACAGAAATTTCTTGTCTCACAGTTCTGGAAGTCTGAGAGGTGTTGGCCAGGCTGGTTCCCTCTGAGGGCTGTGAGGGAGAAGCTGTTCCACACCTCTCTCCAAGCTTCTGGTCATTTGCTGGCAATCTTTGACATTCCTTGTCTTGTAGATGCATCACCCCCAATTCTGCCTTCCTCTTCATATGGCATTCTCTCTGTGTGTGTGTTTGCTTTTGTCTCCAAATTTCCCCTTTTCATAAGGGCATGACTATATTGGGTTTGGGCTCAACCTAATGATGTCATCTTACCTTGATCATCTGCAAGGACCCTATTTCCAAACAAGGCCACATTCACATGCACTATTAGTTAGGACTTCAACATCTTTTGGAGGAGGACACAACTGAGCCCATAATACTGGCATACAAGAGAGTTCAATAAAAAACTCTCTCCCTTTGTAGGATCCTCTTGGATATCCTTAAGGATTACACCTAAGAACAAGAGGATCCTTACAGTAAATAAATCATCTCTTCTTTACGTAGGCATTGCATTGCCAGCACGATTCCTCCTTCGTGTGTGCGTGTGTGTGTGTTCTTTTGCCTGATTTCTGGCCAGTGCACCCTATCTAAGAACTATCCCTTTCCGAACAGGGCAAACTTGGAAATTACCTATGCCAAAGGACTTCAGAAACTGGCGAACAAGCTGAGCAAAGCATTACAGAGCACAAAGAAAAAGTACGTATATGGAAAAGTCACTCTTAAAAATAGCAAAAAGTGGGGCTGGCCCAGTGGCGTAGTGGTTAAGTTTGCAGCCTCCACTTCAGGGGCGCAGAGTTTGCAGGTTCAGATCCTGGGCGTGGGCCTACACACTGCTCGTCAAGCCATGCTGCAGCGGCATCCCACACGGAAAATGGAGGAAGACTGGAACAGATGTTGGCTCAGGGCCAAGTTCCTCACCAAACAACAAAAAAATAAAAAGTAACATATGGTCAATTCCAGCTTCCTTTTCTAAATGTGGCAGGCACATAATGTCAAGCATGGCTTCCAGTTCTTGGGTGCATACTGTGTGAGAGGCACTGTGTTAAATGCTTTCGTAGATATTTTCATTTAATCCTCACAAACGCCCTTGAAAAATCTGATTATTGTCCCTATTTACAGAAAACGACTTGAGGCTTGGAGAGTTTAAGAAACTTGCCCCAATCACACAGATAACAAGTTGCAGAGCTGAATGCATCCTGTGCCTTGTGATTCCCAAGGCCACAGTCATAATAGGCCTTGGTGATGATATTTAACTTGGCAAGCAGTGTTATTACATTGGAAGGTCTTGGAGTCAGGAAATGTGAATCCCACTTTATCTCAACTCTATGACCTTTGACAAGTAACCTGGCCTGTTTGTGCCCTGATTTCCTCCTCTGTTAGATAGAGTGAGGATACATGCTCCATTGTGTGTGCATATGTAGGGGGTGCATGTTAAATGAGATAAGGTACTTAAAGAGATTAACACATTGGGTGCTGAAAAAAATATTGGTTCACATTTTCCTCAACACATTGCAGGATTAAGGATGAAATTAATTCCTTCTTTGGGAGGAGAGAAGAAAAGTATTGGTATTCTAACAGTGGTCCATTAGTGATAATTTGCTATGAAGATTCTTGACTAATGCTTGTAGATATCACCATAAAATGGCAGTGCCATTGCAAAGGTGTCTTTTGATGGTGAAAGAGAGAGGGAAAGAAAAAAATGAAGCCTCTGGAGCTCAGATTCCTACTCCTCCTCAAGCATCATCTGTAACAGCAAATAATGGCTCTGAAATTGCTCTGAATTTGAGCTTGATTTTTAGGATAGTATTTTAGACTACAGATCACAAAAGAGCCAGCAGAACACAATGGTGGAGTGTAGATAGATGTTATTTAGACTGGCCAGGTTTAAGGTCCAGCTCCACCATTCATCGGCTCGGTGAATTAGGGCAATTCACTTTACCTCTCAGTGTGTATTTAAAATGACAGTAAAGCCTATCTCATATAATTGCAGTGAAGATTAAATGAGATAATACAAGAAGCATGTTTAGTACTTGGCAAAGAGTGAAAGCTCCATAAGTGTTCATTAGGATTTTGATTCTAATTAACCTCCTATGGAATGAAAGGTGTAGGGGTGTAGGGGCATGTCTTAATGTGTTGCAACCCTAACACCAGCACGGTACTCCCAAAAAGTTGGCATGTCCAGAATGTTTGGTTAACCAGGATTAGTACAACAATATTTAATAATAAACATTGATCAAACTTTTATCTGTACCAAAATCTGGTACTGGTATAGATAACCTGAATTATTTCTATTTTAAGAGACCAATTAAGCAAGGATCAGAGAAATCAAGTGATCCTTCCAAGGTCACGCAGGATGCAAAAAGGAGCATGTGGAGTCAGACACAGATCCCTCTGAGGCCAATGCCCCCAACTTCCTGCTCTGTTGCCCAGCTCCTCCGAGGGGCAAATGTCAGATTCTTTCCCAAGAGTGTGCCTGAGTTCCGTTTTTAAAAAATCAGCTCTTTTGAGGTTTAATTTACAAGCAATAATAAGCACTCATTTTAAGCATATGATTTGTTTGATTTTGACATGTGTATACATGATGTAGCTGCCACCAAAACCAAAACATAGATATTTTCATCACACCAAAAGATTCCTCATGCCTGTTTGCAACCCCTCCCCCACCCAGGCCCAAGCAACCACTGAGCTGCTTCCTTTCAACATGAATTAGTTTTGTCTGTTCTGGAATTTCCTATAATTGGAAGCATACAGTAGGTACTCTCTTGTGCCTGGTTTGGTGCCTGGCTTTGGATATACGGAAAAGCTGGCACCCTTCGGTCTACTTCTCCCATTCTCTGACTGCAGGGTGCAATCTAAATCACTTAGAGACAAAACCTCAGTACTGTCCTGATTTCAGTAGGGGCACCAGTCTGTCCCCTCCCCTCCATCAAAGTCTCCAGAGGCCTCTGTCCCTGAGGTTTCCTGATGTAACTGAGCTTATTGTTCTAAGGCCAACTATTTGGGCTACTGTGAGCTATGCCCCTTTTGTGGGAGAAAATAGCCTCACACTTCCTAATCCTCCCTCTGTGCTGCTAGGGACACGGCAGGGCTATCCTTTTGTTAAACTGAGATACTGTTGTCCTAACAGCCAGCAGAGAACAGGAGCTAGACCCCAACCTCAAGAGCAGTGTGCAGGCCACGAGTCCTGCCTCACATTGGTTCTCTGAGCCTTGGTTTATTGATCTGTGAGATGAGGAGCCTGAAACGATTGTTTTTAAGGGCCTTCTACTTCTAGCATGCTATCTCCTGCCTTTTCTAAATACCTTCTCATGCTTGGCTACTCTATTTCTCCTATTTTCTACAGACATGAAATGGAAAATGAATATTGAAATGAAAAATGACCGGAAAAAAAAAGCAGTGTACGTAATGACTATAGTGCAAATAAATATGTTGGCAGGATTTGATCCCACGGAGAAATTGAAATAAGCTTAGAGATTTGAGTGCAATTGCTGAGTGCATGAATCAGATGTGCTGGTTTATTTCTCAGACTGTACCGGGAAAATGACACCGACCTTTGTGCCCCCCCTGTTTTTGCCTCCAGCTGTCTCGTCAGTGCCTGGGCCTGGGTCTCGGAGGGCATGAAATCTGCAGCGGACCTGCATCAGTGAGTGCTCCCACCTCAGCCTTGCTCCAATCCCACAGGGAGTCGTAAATACTTAAAGTGGATGTGCCACAGATACTCCACTTCAAACTTGCACTGAGTAGATATGCCATTACACATCATTTTATTTCCCCAGAAAATAATTTGGAAAGTAGATATAAATCCTAATTCTATGCCTGTGTGTCTTTTATGTTCTATTTCCAGAAAACTTGGCAAAGCAATTGAGTTGGAAGCAATAAAACCAACTCATCAAGTCCTGAGTGTACATGAGAAGAAGAGAAAATCAGTGAGTCAAAACCTTTCTTTTCTCCCCTGTTTGAGCAAGATTTCTGTCTTTAGCCCAAGAAGTAAAAGGAGATCCAAAAGGAATGCTAGGTTGCAGGAATTTATCATAAAAACAAACACAAACCCAAAGGTTTATATACAAGGATGTTTGTTAAAGCGTTGTTTATAAGAGTGAAAAACTGGAAACTTCTTCATCATCCAAACATAAATTATGATAAGCTCAAACAATGGAATACTTAAATGAAAAAGCAGGATGAGAAAATCTAACATGATGATCTCAATTTTATAAAACAAATATGTGTATATACACATAGAGAAACTTGAAACAACCTCTCCAGAATGTTAATGAGTTATCTCTACATAGTGGAATTAGAGGTTATTTTAATTTCATTTTTTGTATTCCCATTGTATTTCAGTGAATAGATATTCTTCTTGTAAACACAATTTTTTTTTTTTTTTTTAGATTTTATTTTTTCCTTTTTCTCCTCAAAGCCCCCCAGTGCGTAGTTGTATATTCTTCGTTGTGGGTCCTTCTAGTTGTGGCATGTGGGACGCTGCCTCAGCGTGGTTTGATGAGCAGTGCCATGTCCATGCCCAGGATTCGAACCAACGAAACACTGGGCCGCCTGCAGCAGAGCGCATGAACTTAACCACTCGGCCACGGGGCCAGCCCCCTTGTAAACACAATTTTTAAAAGAAAGCTTTTCTATGCTTATCAGTTTAGGATTATGTAAAGGCAATAATAGGAGTAATCCTCAAGTAGCCTTAAAATTGAAAAAAAACCAAAACAGTTCATTCGGGGCACCTCGTTCTCTTTATGGCATATCCTTTAGTCTTTCTGTGTACCTTTCCTTCCAGGGCAGTTTCAATTGTGCTCATTTTTCTTTTGATTTGTGTGTCATACAGTCATGAAGCACCTTAACATGTGTTTGCAGGCAACATCAAGGGGTGTTTAGCAAGTGCTGCTTAGCTCCGACAGGGGTGGGGTCCTGGTCACTATTTGAAGGCCAGGTGCACATAAGAAATTCCTAAGCAGCAAGAGATGGTCCTTGTGAAGGGAAGGGGCATTTGGCTAAGGGGTGTCTCAAGTGACCACAGCCAGATAAAGCAGGTCCTAAAAGTAGTAAGTCAGTAGGATGAGGGGATTTGTAAAAGCACTGATGGAGAAAAAATGATACAAAAAAATTCTTATTCAAACCCATTAAACAGAGTCAGGAAATGGAATTGATGTTTGGGTGGACATACATATGTTTTTACCAGAATGGTTGTTCTACTTAAGGCTAGGGTGATGGGGGAAATTTACAGTAATTACTAGAAAGCAGCCTAATCTTCTCCCTTTGCAAACCAACTTAATAAAAACCAAACGCTGGTCTATATTTCATTAACCACAAAATATTTTTCATACCACATAATAATATGATAATTACCAGCATTTCCTTAGTACTTAACCATAAATTACGCACAGTGCTATGATCATTATCCCAGCGCTTTAGATAATTAATGTTATTATCTTCTCCCAAAATGCTCTTCCAGTTTGTAATCTTCCTTGCAGCATTGACCCTCCTTGCTGCATACCCCCCACCTCCACCCTCCCCCCTCACCGCAGCCCACTCTCTCACAAAAGATAAGAAGTTAGAATTTTTTTTTACAGTAAGCTTCTTCCACATTTCAGCCACATACACAGAGTCAAAAGTTATTTTCACTGTGTTTGTTACAATAAACTGTATATTCCAGATTTAATCAATTGGAAAACTAAAAATGCGGTGTTGATAAATCTCAGAGTGGTTGGGGGATGGCTGACCTGTGGGTCTGAAAAAAAGGTCTGTAGTCTAGGAAAAAAGGTTCTGCTGCAACTTACATCTGATCTCTTCAGAGGGTTGCCTACATCCATTTTTATCATTATTATTACTGTCCCTTTGGCTGCTTAAAAGCAGGAAATAAAGTTAATTATGATTAAGAATTCAATCTCTTTGAAATTAAGGCAATATTCACTTCAGGGGCAATGAGACACTTAGTAAAATTAGCACGGCTAGGACTGTTTCTGATTCTCGTGGTGTTAAAGTCTGGTCCACATGGATTGATGCTGAAGAGGAAATGCGGGGACTGGAAATGATACCAAATTATGCAAGATTCTCTTCCACACAGGTTGTACACATTTATGTTGTTTTTACGTAGTTACATATTAGAAACAAATATGTTCCAAATGCATTCAGGCTAAATCCTGTCAAGAGATTCTTGACATGGGGAAAAGATAGCTTGGCTACTTTTCTCGAGAAATGTCCACTGTACGATTTTGAAATTCCTATGAATTGTGATAGTCATGAAGCCAGAATTAATAAGCCGGCACCATGACTCAACAAGAAGACAGCAAAAAAATTTTTTTTCTTCTTTTTGTCTTCGATAGCTTGATAACGAAGTTGAAAAGACAGCAAATCTTGTCCTTAGCAACTGGACTCAACAAATTAAGGCAAGTAAACACAAACCTCATCTGTGTAAACTCAGATTTTAGGATGGAAGCTTTTTGCTTCTGCGCAAATATGATGCTGTGCTTTAGTGCTGCTATTTCTAAGTGCGAACAAAGAGAAAAATGCTTCCTCACCTGAGTTATTAGACAGATATGTCTTTCAACTAAACCAATAGAAGAGCAGAGCTCTACTTATGATTATTATTTATAGCAAACACTTACATAGCATTTATTGTGTGCCAGGTGCTATATACTTATATATTTAATCATCACAACAACCCAAGGAGGTATGTGACCTTGCATTGTCCCGTTTTACAGATGGGTGGGGAAACTGAGACACAGAGAGGTAAATGATTTGCCTAAGGCTACAAAGCTGGTTAATGGTTAAACCAACAATTGTTCCAAGTCTTTGGGCTCCAGGATCATTGCTCTTCACTATTATCCTACACTGACTGCCTCTCTGTATAATTTGTAACTCAGGGCAAGCGACAAATACTATCTGAGTTTGGTCTTGTCATTTGCAGAGGGACGTTCGTGATCTCTGTCTCCCTGGTGAGAGGAGCACTCTGAGGGGTGGGTGGCAATATGTAAAGGGAAGTATATATTGATTCCACAAGTATGTATGGGCCTCTTCTTGTGCTCCACTCTGTACTAAGACACGGTTCTTCTTTTCAAGTAACTTAAAATTTAGTTGGCTAGACAACATATGGGCAGGAAATAGTGAATGAATCCTAGGAGAGAAATTATGATCTGGTGTGAGAAGCTAAAACATATCATTACAGGTTCTTGAGCAGAGAGAATAACAGACAGAACCTGTATGTACAGAAGATTATTCTAGAACAATATAGTTTAGGAGGAATCCATTTCAAGTGGAAAGGTCTAGAAGCCAGTGGAGAAAGAATATGCTAAGAAAATCCAATAATCCCTTTTGGGAGGACTTGTGCTCCAAAGGTTGACATTTGCCTTTTTTTCTCCAAAGTGTTAGTCCCAAAGATAACTTTCCCGAATAGTCAGCCACTAGAGTCAAATAACCAGAGACGCCCTCAGAAACAGGCAGCCCCACCTCAGCCCTCAATCTTGCCTCTGAAGCTTCTGCTGAAACCCAGGACTCCATAAGACCAGGACATTAATAAGAAATGTTTGAGAGAAAGAAATTTCTATACCCACAATAGCAGTACTGGTAAAAAGATGCCATCCAGAATCACCTTTATAATAAATATTAAAGAGTCCCAGAAACAGTATCCAGTCATTTGTTCTTAGTTTTGCTCTTGATTTTATGAGCTTTCTTAAACAGGATTTGTTTTTAAAAATCCATTCTCTAAATATTCAGCTTTCACATAAAATTCAATGTAATGGACCAAAAGAGAGAAATCATGCTTAGCAACTGAAATTGCTTTCAAGAACAAAAATCATCTTTTATTATTTCCCAGTTTCCACTAAGTAATAATTCTAAATAAAATGATTTTATTTTTTATGAAGAGTGACAGAGAAATTAGAGAATATCAAAATTCTCGAGCTATAATAATTTTCTCCCCAGTTACAATTCAAGGGATTTTGGCATGTCAGTAATGAAGTTCAGTCTGTTTTAAAGACACAAATGAAAAGCCTCAAAGGACTAAGTGTTCTCGCCTCATGCTCTCATTTATCAGCGGGCATGTGACCAAGTGAAGGTGGAGGAAGAGGGTCTCTGAGCTTCTTGTTCCCTCAATTCCCTTTTGTAGAGGCTCCCTGTTTAGAGACCTTCAAAAGGCTTTGCCTCTGATTCCTAAGGAAAGAGAGACCTGAGCTTTCCCTTCCTTATCTGGTTTTACAGTCCTTGCAACCTTGAGGTGGAAAACCAAACAGTCTTTCAACCAACTCAGTTCCTGAACAGGCTGAATCCAACTCAAACCAAACTGTTTCTTTATTTTATCTCTGGAGCATCATCTTCTGCCAAGTTAGAACTGTGTAGGATAGGAAATGATCGCCTGAATCATAAGGCACTCTGAGATTTGAGGCATCAGCAAGGTTGAACACTTCTTCCTTCCTGTCGCCCCCCCCACCCCTTGCACCCACCCCCCCATAAACGGAGGGCATTCCATGTGATGCCAGCCAAGCACCTAGCTCTCAAGCCTGGGCATCAAGGAGCAAAATTTCCCCTTTGCTGTAAGTCTTAAGAGAGCATTTTAAAACAACCTCAGTTGTGGCCCAGGTTGATTTAAAAGAATGATGCAGGCAGTTGTCCATGTTTGTTGTGATATTTTTTGTGGCAAAGCCATTTCCTTCCATTATGCTAGCTATAACAGTGTTTTGGAGGCTTGCAGGCCTTTGGTGATTTAATAAAATGTTTAACCTTCTTGAATGTACTCAATATAACGGAAAAACGCACAGTAGTTCTCAGGGCAAAATGTTAGCTGCTCTGATATTTTAGATAGATTTTGAAGTGAGGGCAGAAAAGAACTAAAAGTACACAGTCATTCAAGCTAGCACATGAGCTTGACTTGTGCCAGAACAGAAGAGTGTTCTCTTGACGTCAGTTTCTGCTCCTTTCTAATTTTTTTGTGTGTTTTACACTTTAGGCCAAGAAGAAATTAATGGTGAGTACCAAGAAGCATGAAGCACTTTTCCATCTTGTAGAAAGCTCCAAGCAAACTGTAACGGAAAAGGAGAAGCAGAAGGTAACCTGTCATGGTCAGCTGGGTGCATGTGGCTTGGAGACGGGTGGGCTTTCTGCCCTTAGCTATGAATGCAAGAGAACTGGCTGATTCCCGCCTCTCTGTGGGGTCTCTGCAGAGATGGAGTGTGGCAGAGTATGAGAAGGGATTCTAAATTATTCCTGGTCCACATATATTTTTAAAAAGCATTTTTGACAGATGATAAATTAGACCAATGGTGTCCAAATGTTTTAATAGGGAGCCCTGTTAAATTTCTCAGCTCACACCCCAAATAAGTAAAAAAATCTATACACATATATGGAATATAATATCTTTATGTATGTTGTGTATTATATATAGTACATTATATATTATATTAATATGAACATTGTAAAACATAAAAAAGTACAAGTGCTTCAAGGATGAGATAAAGATGCAATAATATTTTAAGTAATTAGCTAATCATGATGTTTTCATATAATCATTAAGTGACATTTCCAGGCAAAATATACATTTGGAGTAAAGTTCAGCCTTAACCATAGTAAATATAAATTCATATTTCTAATAGTCTTCTTGATAATTTTAAGTTTTTTGGTCAGCTTCGTGTCAGATCTCGCTAGATCATCCCGGTGTTTGCCTCTTCCTGTGGGAGATGATGCCCTCATAATCAAGAGCAGGAGAACCATCCGCTCCCACACTTTCCTGTGGCTTCCTGCGCTCACGTTGTTAGTATCAATGTCAATCCACAGCTTCTAAGGAGAAATCTTTTTAAGGCAGTTGTTAATTTTGTGCGTATTGACCTAATGAAGCTAGATAATACATCTGTAAATCGACATGATCCAGACACATGCCGATGGCCATTGTCTCAGGATGGTGAAAGTGAAGACATTTGTGAGAGCCCACATCAGTTTCTGATGTTGTAAAATTCCCACTCTTCCTCCAGGACACTTCAGAATCCGCAACTGGCCGTGTATGGGCACCAACGTCAATTCATGTATTTAACAAGAGTAAGCTTGATAACTGCTTTTAGACAAAAATGAACACAAATCATTGTGGAGTGCAAGCAGAAAATCAAAATCAAATATTTTCTGCTTGCACCCCAGTAGATTATCTTGCACACTTCTTGTGGTATGTGCCCCAGATTGGAAACCTCTGAAATAGTCAATATCTTTCCCCAAAAGATGGAGTCCCCTTAAGCAAATGCAGGCAGCACGACTGCAACCCAAAACATTCTTAAAAGAAAAATAAAATTGTCATTGCAAGTAACACTATCATTGCTCCTGAAGAAACTATTAGTTGAATAACTTAAATTCATTGTTAGCAAGATTTTACAAGGTTCTTATTTCTTCACATGTCAGTCTTCACAGTTTGAAATGATCATAACAAGTATTGAATAATGAGAGAGCTTTGGAGGAGGCAAACCCCCAGTGCGTTAAAATGCTAAGCACCAGAACCTGTCATAGGCATACGGAGCCCTCATTAGAAGCTATTCTTTATTGATGTCAAGCAATAACAAAGAAAAAGCATGGGCAGCTAAGTGGTGAATTTCCTCTTCCTTCCTTCATTTGCAGCTTCCTGGGAGGTTGAAGTCCATGGTCAACCCCTGCCCTCCTGCAGCTGATCCTATAACCATAGCCCTTGGCTATCATTATGTCACAGACCCCTACCACCTTCATTGCTTTACTGGCAGCCTTTTTTTTTTTTTAAGTCTTAAAGCTAAATGCCTGAAGCAGCATTCATTTTTGCATCTCATATAGAGGCACCCCTGATCTCCAACCTGAGCTGAGTGTGTTCTGTACTGCTCAGCAATTCTTTCTGTTTTCCTGCTCAGCAGTCCTTGTTCCCACCAGAAGCTTGTCTAAATCTCCTTTCTTCTCGCACCTCCATCCTCACCACCTACTCTCAGCAGACTGTCTTGCCTGCTGCCTCATAGAGTAAATAGAAATCAGCACAGCCTCCTGCCTCCTGGAGTCCTATGTGCAATGAGATAGGCCAGTTCTTCACCGTGTGCTCCGACTCCCATCCCATCCTGCCTCTCAGAGACCCTTCTCTCTATTAGTCCCCTCTCTCCTGTATCTTGGACATCTCCCTCTCTGAGTTGCTTCACACCAGTCTTTTCAACTGCCTCCTATCTTAGGAGGGTAGGGAGAGTCAGGGAGACACCTTTCCATGGCCCTATTCCTGTTCCTTTCCAGATATTACCTCTCATTTTTTTTTTACCTCTCCTTCTTTTTACAGTAAGATTTATTGAAAGGGTTGTCTGTGCTCTGTCTCCACTTCCTCATCTCCTATTTACTCCTCAAACCACCCAATCAAACCTTCCCCATCATTCTCCTAAGAGTGTTCTTGCCATTGAAAACAATGCCATCCTTGTGGCTAAAACCAATGGATAGTTTCCAATTCTTATCTTATTTAACTTCTTGGAAGCATTAAACATTATGGACTTCCCCTTCTAAAAACACTCTCTTCTTTTAATTCTCTTATTCAGCAACATCTTACTCTTTTGGTTTTCCTTTCTGGCAATGTTTTCTTAGACTCTTTTATGGACTTCCCTTTTTCTGCCTGGCCTTTATCTATTGCTGTTCCTGATAATTTCTCTCCTGGGCCTCATTCTTTTTATTCAGCATTGTATCTCCATTGTCCAACACAGAACTCTCAATATCAAGTACTCAATAAATATACTCTCAAGGCTTCGACAACCCTATCTATGCTGACAATACCAAGTTTGTATCTCGAGCCCAAACCAGTCTCTAAACTGTTTTCTGGCACCTCAAACTCAATACCCCAAATCAAAACCATCACTTCCCTCCACCAAAAACATTCTTTATTTCTGTGTTTTCTATATCCTTGAATGTGACCACCCACCATATCCTCCTGATTCCAACTCCTAAATTAAATTCTTCTTGAATTTATCTACTTAAGTCTGTCTCCACTGCCACTCCCCTCTCCCGGGCCACCACAAATGGGTCTCCTGGCTCTCAGGGTTGCCTCCTCCTGTCTATTTCCCATGTACCAGCCAGGCTTGAATCTAAACCTTGAATCTGAGGATATCATTCACCTTTTGAAAGACTTCAAGAACTTCCCAGTGACCTCAGAATAAAGCACAAATGCCTTTACATGGCCCTTATTTGACCCTGACTCCCTGACTTGACCTTTGCTGTTGTTCAGCATCATCTCTAGCTATTCTCTTTCTCAATCTGTGCTCCAACCTTACCCCAAATTTTTTCATTATCATTCCATGCTATTTTGCCTCACCAATTCCTACTTTCATTTTAGTTTTATTCCTACAGGGATCATTTCTGTGAGCACTTACTATGTGCCAAGTCTTGGCTTCAACGTTATTTTAATTCCAAGGTTAGTTTAGATACCTGTCATGGTGAATACTTATATCACCATGGGATCTATTACACAGGATAGTAATGGCCTGTGTGGGTCCCTGACTAGAGAGGGAACCTATCTTTTTCCCCTTACTAGTCCAAAAGCCTTGTACATGACACATTGTGTCACTCAATAAGTGTTTGATGAATGAATGAATGAATGAATGAGAGGTTTGTTCCAAGAGAAAGAAAAGAAGAAAGAAAAAGAATTCAGTGTTTGACAGATTTTAGTAATGGTTTCTGAGAAGTTCCTTAAACAAGAATGTAAGAGTCTAGGTGCTTTTTATTTTTTTATTTTCTTTTATTTTTTTATTTATTTATTTTTTTTAAGATTTTATTTTTTCCTTTTTCTCCCCAAAGCCCCCCGGTACATAGTTGTGTATTCTTCGTTGTGGGTTCTTCTAGTTGTGGCATGTGGGACGCTGCCTCAGCGTGGTCTGATGAGCAGTGCCATGTCCGCGCCCAGGATTCGAACTAACGAAACACTGGGCCGCCTGCAGCGGAGCGCGCGAACTTAACCACTCGGCCACGGGGCCAGCCCCTCTAGGTGCTTTTTAAATATCTATTTGGGCCTATTTGCTGAGCATAAACTTTTAGTCAATAGCTGTATAGTGCAGGCTAATGAATGTGAGTGGTAATCTCAAAAGTGACTCAGATCTCATTGCTAGGGGGGTCTGAGCATTGTCAATAAGAATCTAAGGACAATGATTTAGCAAAGTATAGCCATGGCACACTTTCAGCCCTTTCACTATATTATTATCAGGTTAAAATTCACGTGCTCATGTTTCTATAGATAAACGTGGTTCATTACACTTAATGTGCAAAACCAAGTGTGTCCTGTGTACGTCATACATCAGAGCCCAGGGACAGTTGAATGGCTAGCATATCAACTGGAATAATGGAGTGAGTGGTATTAATATTCAGTATTTTGGATGAATGTTCTTCATAACTGAAATGTTAGTCAAAATGTCCTTAAACATAAAGAGGATCATTCTTAAAAGCTTGTCTCTGTCCTTGAAACTCCTAAACTGCTTAAGTCAGAGGGATCCTCCACGTTCCTTAAACTGTGGTTTGAGGACCATTTGCATCAGAATCATCTGAGGAGGTGGTGAAAATTCAGATTTTCCGATCCCTCTACAGAACTATTGAATCAATATTTCTACTTGGGGGACCCTCAAAATCTGCAATTTTATAAGCACACCAGTTATTCCTGAGCCTACTAAAGTTTGAGAATCATCCATGTAATCCTACTTCCTTCTCTCTCAAAGATGTGAAATTACTTGTCCGAGCATTTTGCAAATCAATTGCAGCTACCCTTGTCCAGAGAGTTTTGTATTATTTTGGTTTTCCAGAAGATTTCACCGTCAGAATGGCCAATCTTGGTGATGGGCAAGAGGGGGCTCTTTGTGAAGGAGCAGATCGCTGGGGAGCAGGATGAAAGGATAGCACCCGTCAAGCTGCCCATAAGTTGCAGTGAACATGGGCACGCGTCTCAGGCTCTTCACTAGTAATGATAATGCTCACTAATCTTTGGGTGCTACACCAGCTGTCAGGCAGAGGGCCACAAGCTTTACCTGCATCACCTGCTTGAATCCTCAAAGCAATCCAGTGAAGTAGGAACATCACCATGCCCCTCACAGAGGAGAAAAAACTGTGGTTCATGAAGGTGAAGTAACTCACCTGCAGTCAGAACCAGGACTCTAACCCTGAAGTCTGATTCCAAAGTTATACTGCAGAGTTCATATAGTGAAAGTGGAGGGAGGTTGCTGGGCAGGATGGTAGCCGGCCGAATCCGAGTTCTAAAACTTAAATGATGGTGCAAGTCTTCATCTGGGCTGGTAAGAAATGCAGGGGCCTGAAGGATTTGCTGCATAAGACTACACGAATCACTGATGGATTACAGTCTTGAGTTGGAGATTTTTCATCTGTGCTTGCTTCTCCTCACCTGTCATTGGCCTCCTCCTTGATTTGACAAACGTGGGTACATTGCATATTTAAAGACCTCAATTTCCTCATGTGAAAAATTGAAGGAATCTTACTGAAAGGCCCTTAGGTTTTCTTTCAGCTCTGATATCCATTTTTTTCTGAGGAAGGTCTTTGGTTTTGTCATCTATAGTTACTGTTTATGACTTTAGTTTGGAGATGAGAAATATATCATTTGGCTGCATATAATTCCTAATATGAAATTATACAAGGCTTTCATAAATGTGTTAATCAACATGTGACACTGATGTTTTACTTTAGCTCCTCAATAAACTGAAAAAATCGACTGAGAGGTTGACAAAAGAAGATGAAAATTACTACGAAAAAAACATGGCCGGCTGTTCTACCAGACTGAAATGGGAGAACACACTAGAAAACTGCTACCAGGTAAGTTAGCCATTCACATTTTGTTCTGCTTCCATGGAGCTCTGTGTGGCCTTGAAAATGGAGGTTAGATCTACAGTTACTTGGTCTGATGATCCCCGTCCTTAGCTGTGACACTCGCTTCTATTGTGAGTTTAGACAAACCACATTACTTCTCATTATTTTTCTCCATGGATGCAATTACCAGTGAATCTTTATTAAGCATCATTGGCCAGGATTTCTGCTCCTAATTCTCAATGGACACAATAGCACTCAGCTAACATTACAAAGTGCCGTCGAAGTAAAGTATAAGTTAAGGCTTAAGTGTTGGGTACTCAGAAATGAGTTGTAGGCCTGAGAGCGGATTCATACAGTAATCACCTATGGAGTTCCTTTGTATGTCAGGCGTTGTGTTGGGCACTGGAGATATAGCAATGAATAAATGCCATCTCAACTCTTGAGATGTGCAGAGTTTAGTGGTAAAGAAGACATATAAAGCATTGCAAATCGTCCAATAAAAATAAGCAAAAGGTATGAACAAGGACATCACAAAAGAGAAAATCAAAATCACTAATGAACATATGAAAAGATGCTCAATCATTTGGCAAAAATTAAAAATTGACAATATTAAGTGTTGCCGGGGATGTTGGGAAACAAGAATTCTAGTATCCTTCTAGTGAGAATAATTTAGTGATATGGAGTGTTACTGAGATGTGCATGCACCCACAACATGGCAGTTCCTCTTTTAGGCAAGTATCCTGAAGAAAAATTTATAACTGTATACCAAGGGGTATGTATACGAATGTTTATTGAAGAATTGTTTATAATTGCATGGTGAGAAAAAGTTATACACAGTCTTCGTACCTATAAATAGAGGAATTAATCTTAAAATGTGCTCTAATTTAGGACGTAGACTAATATATAGCAATAAAACATGAATTAAAACCATATTTAAACAGGAATTAACCTCAAAAACATGATGTTGAAGAAATACTATTTATACAATTGATGTAAATTAAAACATTTAAAAAACTCACACCCCAAACTATACTGAGTTTATCTATGTGTTTGTAAACTTAAACACATAGACTGGGTCTATGTTGGATGAGGGCAGTGGAGCTCATGGTGGGAATTCAACAGGGCTGCCACATACAGCCACGCAGCTTGTGGATAGCTCCTGGCAGAGCAGCACAAAAAGCCCGGGCTCAAAACTTATTTCAACTATCTCTGAATAGCTTAGCTCTCTTTTGTAAGTCAATCTAAATATGACCAAATTAAATAATTTTCAATTCTGGGTGGTAAGAACATGAATGTTTTTATTTTCTCCACATGTTTTAAGTTAAAAAAAAGTTTAGAGGCCAGGCTGGTGTCATAGTGGCCAAGTTTGCACACTCCACTTTGGTGGCCTGGTGTTTACCAGTTTGGATCCCGGGTGTGGACCTACACACTACTAATCAAGCCAGGCAGTGATGGTGTCCCACATACAAAATAGAGAAACATTGGCACAGATGTTAGCTCGGTGACAATCTTCCTCAAGCAAGAAGAGGAAGATTGGCAAAAGATGTTAGCTCAGGGCCAATCGTCCTCACCAAAAAAATTTTAAAAATAAATAATAATAATGTTTAAGGCAAGGTGTGATTGCAAAAAGAAGCAATCATGATGCAATTTGATAAGCACTGTAATGTGGGTATGAGCAATATGGCTAATATGTAACAAGTGCTGGGTATGAGCAGGCACTGTGTTAAGTACAATTAACCTACATTTGTGCACTATGTATTCACCACAATATTCTGAAGAGGTAATACTTTTATTCTCAATTCATAGTGAGGAAATTGAGACTGAGAGAGATGAAGTAACTTACCCAGGTTCTGGGATTCAACATTGGCAGTCTGATGCCACGAGCTTTACCTCTGTGCTATGCTTCTGCCCTAACGAGAGCTGGGCGAGGGAAGGCCACATGGTAAGCAGAAATTGAAGGGCTGTACTGAGTCTCTTGCTGTTCCACTTTCAACGTAGGATAGATTCAGAGTTAGGGAAGAAGGGGGATATTAAAAGAGAAGTGAAAACTTGGGTCAAAGAAGAGAAAAAATGAGAAGAAACCCTTCTTTAATTTATCCCTTCAAACATAGGGCCCTGGTACGTACCTTGCTTATGCCGAATAGGTTTTAGATGAAGATGATGACAAAAGGCCAAGGGCTTAAATTTCAGCTTTGTCCATGTGAAACCTGACTCTCCAAACTGACCTCTTATTTTTCCTGCCCCCTAGAATTTCTCAGTGAAGCTCTGGCCTTTCCACAGAGGCTGGCATCCTAGGACAGCCCTATTGGGAAATGGGAGAGAAATTGCTGCTCCCACTCCATCCTCCAGGCCCCCCTCAAGGGCTGTGAGAAAACTATTTAACCTTAGTTTCTCTGTCCTTCTCATCCTTCTATCTATGTCACAGCAATAGACGACAATTGTGGTTCTTACCTAGTATGGCTGCCAGGATTCCTGGTGTAGCTGACATCCAGCTGGCCTTCAGTACGTATTAGATATTGCTATTGCTAACTAACCTTACTATCAGAGGCTCTTCCTAGGTCTCTCCTTTCTTTTTCTCTGTTTCCTTTTCTCCTGTTAGGGTCCTCCTCTGCCTTCTCCCTCCACCCCATCCCCCTTTCAGCAGTCCCAACTTTTATAGTGAAATATCTTGAAAATTATCTTCTTTGCTTATAAAGTCTTCGTGATGGTGACAAGAGATATATTTATTTACATTTCAAAAGATCTCCTTTCAACTCAGCTTTAAAAATGTTTAAGACCCTAGGTGTTTTATTAGAATGAAGGTCACATGGAGAGTCTACTGGAAGTCGGACTCTCCATAAGGAAAAGAAGTATTTCCTTTCACCCTTCTTGTATCCTGGCTTACTGCTACCACCAGGCTGGAGGCCACCGGTATTTCACTCCCCCTCCATTTTAGCTCACGCAGTTCCTTTTATCCCACCTTCCTTAGAGCTCTCCTCTGCCTCCTGAGTGCCAAACCAAGCCCATTCGACCCACTTGAGATTACTTCTGTCAAGTCATCCTTGCCTCACCCCAACCAGTAATGAGTCCTTTACTTTGTATTTCCCTGGCTTGTATATACTCAATCCATACCAACAAGTCATTGACTCACATATTACACTATGCACTATGCTCTCTGTTGTTTACAAACTCAGGAGTAAAATGTTATATTCATGAAGACACATAACAAAAGTGGGCTGAATTGGATTAAAGGGAATTCTATTTTAAGTGTGAGAGGTGGAAATGGGACAACCAGGATCATTCGGTTTTATTTTTTCTCCATTCTCCCACCATTCTTCTATAAAGATGAGAGTTCATTTTAACTTCCTATGAAGTGTTCTCTTACCCCTTCTTACTCTCCAGGTTGGATTTACAAATTCTTTCAGAGAACATTCATTGAACTATGTTCATGGTAGTTTACTAGATACCATGAGAAAAATTTTAAAGTCTCAAGTGTGGCTATCAAGTAATGAAACCAATTACATAAACCACATGTCAAAATTAGTCTTATTATTTCATAATCATACTATATTCAAGTCATATTTCCTACCTTCCAAGAAGAGACAATTCAGTTGGTAGAAATAATCTGTAATATATTTTGAAAAATAATAACCACACTACCAAGAATTACCAAGAATCAAATGCTTGGTATTGATAGTACTTACTCAAGGAATTATTTTAGAAATCCATTTGCAATAAGTATCAAGAGCCTTAAAAAATGTTACCATTCTCAACCAGTGTTCCTCATCTGAACCACAGAACACAGAAAATAATTTGAGTGACAGTTTCCTCAGTTCTCCCAAGGATGGTAGTGACTAGTACCACTGTAGATGCAGAGGAGAGATGGTGACTCATAGCATTGAGTGCCTTGAGGACAGTGGGTGCCTTGGGACATTAGGTCTTAATTCTCTCCTAGAATCTCAGTTGAAAAACTATAATCTCCTTTCTATAAATCCACCTTGAGGAAATTAACTGAAAAAAACCCCACAGATTTCAATTCAAAATACATCAAAAATAAAAGAGAGAAAATTAAAATGGTCAACATTAAGGGAATGACTAAATGAATTGATACATTCTAGACAGTGGACTATTAATTAAAACGGTGTTTTGGAGACTAACAGCATGGGAAACTGCTTATGTATAATGTTAAGTGGAAAAAAATAGGATACAAATTTGAATAATTGAGAGATAACTAGAAAGATAAAACCATTCATAACCACATACCTTGATGAAATGAAATACATCAAAATGTTGACAGCAGTCATCTCTGGGCGTAAGAACTGGAAAAGATTTTAAGATTTTTTTGTGTGTGGCCCATTAAGGCCCTAGGATAACGTCCCAAAGCACCTAGGGAGCTCGTTAAAATTCTGATTCCTGAGTGCCTCCCTAGATGGAGTGAGTCAGAACCTCTGAATGATTTCAGGAAGGGGTCTAGGTGATTGCTAGACATACTAAAGCTTGAGAGTTCCTGCTCTAGAAAGAGCGTGATATATCTTTGTCCAGTTTTATGAATGCAATCTAGATGAAAACAAAGTCCCTCCACGCTCCTCCTGTAGTACAAACCAAAGGCGAGGACAGCAGGAACTGGAAAGAATGAATGAAGGATGTGAATGATCACAGTGCCTGGGCCCCACACAAGCTCTAAATCCGCTATTCCTGATAGCTCTTGAACACGCTTTGCTCGTGTGTGCTGTTGTGAAAGCACAGGAGGACAGTCTGAGCTCCTCCAGAGGATTTTGCTTCTCTACCACCTCTTTTATACAAAAAGAACAAGATAATAGATAGTAATAATTCATTAAATTAGATATGGATTTCCCTTTTGCACAGTGAAATTTATCTCAGCGTCTTTTCATGAGCAAACATAGATCATTTTAATGATTTCCCTGAAATGTAATTAAATTCTGTTAAACATTACCATCTCCACCAAGGGACACTGTTTATTCTAGTCTCAGACTGAGGCTAGTGGCTCAGCACTTGTCCAAGTAAAGCAACAGCTGCCCACTAAGGATACACTGTGTTCCCAAAGCCTGGCTTTTCTTTTCTCTCCCGTCCTTTGCTCATAGTGCTAAACTAGAACAGCTGCTTTCTAGATCTTTTTCTGTGGTGTAAAGACAGTTTTTGGAGACTGTCCCACTTGAGGTCCAAGTCACTGAGCAGAGTTTGTTTTACATATTTGTTAGGAGGCATATGATTTCTGCCCTTTGAAAAAGCACTGTGTTTAATAGGATACTCTTCTGGGTCTTTAATGCTTTATCTGGGTGACAGGGCACATGGCCACATGCAAATGGCTGGCGCCATGATTTTGGAAAAGATCCAGAAGACCAGCAGCAGAAACAAAGGCATTTGGCTCCCACTGGCTTACAAAAATTGTGTGGGTTTTGACTCCACAAAGAAGGTGGCCATGGAGAAGCAGAGCTTCGGGCTCTCTGATTCAAATAGCAGGATGCTTGGCACAGAATCAAAATTTGCCTGTGACTGACATGCATGTTCATAGTTACTGCCTGAGCTTTTTACTGTGTGTATTTGTAGCAGCATTAAAATGACTATATACTGATAAACAAAATGTGGTATTTACCTACAATGGAATATTATTCAGCCTTAAGGAGGAAGGAGATTCTGACAGATGCTACAACAAGGACGAAACTGGAAGACTTTATGCTGAGTGGAATAAGCCAGACACAAAAGGACAAATATTGTATGAATCCTTTTATGTGAGACACCTAGAGTAGCCAAATTCATAGAGAGAGAAAGTAGAATGGTGGTTACTAGGGGCTGGGGAGAGGGGGCAGTGGGGGTTATTGAGTTATTGTTTATTATGGGTGCAGAGTTTCAGTTTTGGAAAGTGAAAAAAGTTCTGGAGATGGATGATGGTGATGGTTGCACAGCAATGTAAATACACTTAATGACACCAAACTGTACACTTAAAAATGGTTAAAATGGAAAATTTTTTGTTATATAAATTTTATCATAAATAAAAAACATAAATTTTAAAAAGTTTTAAATGACTATATACCGTAGATGGAATAACAACAGAATGTGGATGCAGTCTACTCAGGGACGTAAAGGAACGCCGTGCTGCATCAGGCTGGCAGGCCCTGCGGGTGTGCCAAGAGAGGCAGGAAGGGAGAAGTCAAGGACCTTTGGGATCCCCCCACCCCCACCCTACCACAGGCCTTGAGATGTAGTCCACCCTTCTTACTTTCTATGGTAACGTCTCCCGCCAGTTTGCTCAAAGCCTTCCTCGTGAGAGACTACTGCTGAGCGCTCTTTACAGTGTGGGATGGAGTCTGGTGGGATGGCAGGTATGACAGCAACCAAGCTGGCCTCTGGATAAAGGAAGAATGCCCAGGCCTGTCCTTATAAAAATCGGATGAGACATGTTGTTTGGGACACCTGCCACCTCTGTCAAAGCCTAAAGTCCTCTGGGCACATGCTTAGCAGCCTCCCGCCACCCCCATGTGGCCTAGGAATCCCGCCTGTGTATTCCACCTGACCTCCACCTGACCTTCTCACGTGATGCCCAGCTGCCAAACGTCCCGCACTCCTTCCAACAACCTGTCAGCAGCCCAGCCGGCAGCGAGAGGCAAGAGTCTAACGACTGACTTATCTAAAATGTTAATGGCTAACAAAGCAAACATGACCTCCCTCCTATCTTGTTTACCCTTCCTATCAGCAAGTTAAGAAACTCCAAGGGTGGAATTTTTGTTATCCCACACAAAATGAGGAGGCTATGTTCCCACCTTCAAACCGGGGTCCCTGACCCCCAGGCCTAATTTTAGGCCAGGATTGTGAATTGATCGGACTTTGGAGTTGTGCTCTCATCAAATAGTTTCCTTAAGCAGAGAATTTGTCTCATCATCTTTGCCCCTGCAGAGACTAGCAGAATGCCTTGTATGCACTATAAACAATTCTAAAAATATTCAATGTCTGAATGCATTTCCAAGACATAGACATGGATTTTACTGGGCACCACTCTCTTTCTCCAGACCTCATGGATGCGTTTCAAATGATTCCTTTTCTCCTCCTTCTTTGTGAATGTCAGGTAACCCCGTGGCATCTGCCTGTATGCCTTTTGGACCAAAAAAGCCGGGGGAAAGTGTGTGAGTTAAATCAATCCTAATAGAGGGTAAATAGGACAGACCCCGAATCACATTCCTGTCCTGGGAATCTCCCCTCACTGCAGTTTGGATATGACATTATCAAGAGGCACAGACATGACAGTTTGCTCAGACTTTCTTTGGGTGTGTCAGTGCTTGCTGGGTGACTTCAATTTTGCATAACAACTAGCTGATCTTATGTCATTTTTTATCCTTTCTAGAGCATCCTGGAACTGGAGAAGGAAAGAATTCAACTTTTGTGCAATAACTTAAACCAGTACAGCCAACATATTTCTGTTTTTGGCCAAACCCTGACCACGGTGAGTAGTAAAGATTTCTCCATTTCTGGTAGGTGTGGTCAGAACTGGCGGGAAACAGATTTTCAGCAACCTTGTTCTGCTTCTTGGCATTGCAGTACCACACACAGATTCACTGTGCCATCAGCAAGATAGATGTTGAAAAAGATATCCAGGCTCTCGTGGAAGAAACTGCAGTCTCATCTACAGAAAATAAATCTGAGTTCCTGTTAACTGATTACTTTGTAAGTATGGAATGAGAGAAAGTTCCATTAATGGGGAATCTCCGTCGTGCACTGAGGGATTTATTTTGAAAAACATTGAGAGCAATTGTAAAGGAAATAGCTCTTGTTTTTTACATGAAAATATTAATTTTTTTCATAGTCTGTATAAATAAGAAAAACAGTGTGTAGTTTAGAAACTAGGCAATGGAAACATGTCTTTGGTATTCTCTGGAAGGGAAGAAAGTCAAGCAAGGCTTTAGGCTGAATCTTTATACTCAGTCTTCTGTAAGAGCAATGCCAGGCAGACAAGTTTCATGATCTATAAATTTGTTGTTGTTACATGCTGTCAAGTTGGCTCTGACTCCTGGTGACGCTCTGAATGAGTGGTGGACACAATGTCCTGTCCTCCACAGCCCCTGTCAGGACCTGTAGACTCGTGCCCATGGTTTCCTTTATGGAGTCCATTCAGCTGATATTTGATCTTCCTCTTTTCCTGCTGCCTTTAACTTTTCCCAGCATTATTGTCTTTTCCAAAGAATCTTGCCTTCTCATCATGTGGCCAAAGTAGGACACCCTCAGTTTTTATCATTTTTGCCTCCAGCAATAGTTCAGGATTAATTTGCTCTAGGACCTACTTGTTCGTCTTTCTGGCTGTCCAGGGTATCTGTAGAGCTCTCCTCTCATTTCAAATGAGATTTGTAAATAATCACTGTATATCATATTGGTTGTCTATTGCTGCATAACAAATTACCCCCAAATTTAATGGATTAAAACAAATGTCTATTATCTCACAGCTTCTGTAGGTCAGGAATCCAAGTGTGGCTTAACGGGGTGCCTCTGAGTCCCTCTCAAGGCTGCCACCAAGGTGTCAGCCAGGACTGCAGACATCTCAAGGCTCTACTGGGAGACGGCCTGCTTCTAAGCTTACTCACGTGGCTCATGGTGGGCCTCTGGGCCTCGCTGACTTGGCTGGAGATCTCAGTTCCTCGCCATGTGAGTCTCTCCACCTATGGAGAGCTCACAACATCCAGCCTGCTTCCCCTGGAACTAGTGATCCAAGAGAGACAGAGCCAGAGTGCCAAGAGGGAAGAGTAGTCTTCTATAAGCTAATCTCAGAAGTGACATCTCATCATATCCTGTTTGTTAGAAGCGAGTCAATAAGTGCAGCTCACACTCGAGTGGAGGGGAATGCACAAAGGCATGAAACCTAGGAGAGGTTTTATTTCCCAGATTCCTTATGGTTCTTGCTTTTGAAAAACTTGTGCCAAATTACAAAAGCTTATTTCAAGGGCATTTGGATGATTCTACTGTCCTGTAACCTTCCTTGCCAAAAACTGATCAGTGTCCCTGGTTAGAGCCCAGGCATCTTGCCTCCCTCTATCTTGGGGTAAGTTCTTCATCTTCTGGGTCATGCCTCAAAGATTTTGTCCTCTGCTCCCCTGTTGTTTGTCTTAATTGTAGTGTTCTAGGAGTTGATCATTATACCAAAATCTGCAGGAAGAATTCGTGATCTCTCCTCCCTGGGCCCTCTGTCGTATTTCTTTCAGACCTTCAAGGTCCAGATTGGGGTGCTCATTCCTTGCTGTGTTTAGACCTGACCTGCTGGTCATTTTCTCCTATAGGATTAAAAGTATAGCCAAAGTCAACATCCCAGGACTCCTGCTCAGGGAACAAGAGATGGGGGGAGAGGGAGAGGCAGTTAGATCTGGGCACAGCAATGAGTCCTGACCAGCTTTCCCCTTCCCCACCCTCCAAACAGCAGTGAGTGGCCAGCTATTTCTTCAACTGAATCTTTTTTTCCTACCCTGGCAAAGGCAAAACAAATTAGCACTAGTGATGTCTCTTCGAAGCAGAAATGAAAGTAGAGATGGGAGTGGAAAGGAAGACTTGATTACATGGGGAAAGTACTTTTTTTTTCTTCCAAATAGTGTAGGTGATCCCTGAGATGGGAAAATGTGCAATAAAATATATTTATCACTTCCTTATAAAAATCCCTCTATTGACTAACCTGTCAATAAAATAAGGGTCATTCTCCTTGAAAATTTGACTAAACTTCTATTGAAATTTAAGCAGTCACAACTTATCTTTCATTGACGTGCCCGTGGAAACTTTTGGTTTCTACGAAACCAGACTAACTACATATCTGTTGTCTAAGAGAATGGACTGTATCTCCAAATGAGTGAATAGGATTTTCTTAATATCCTCGAAGCAACACACGTCTGAAATCTGACTTTATAGTCATTGGCAGTAAGTGTAGACTGGCTTTTATCTAGTGCCACATAATTTACATGGACTAGGGTAAGACAGGAGAACAATCTGAGTGTAAATATTGGAGGGTATGACCAGGGTGAAAATATCAGTAAGGTTAGTGTAAAGGCCATGTTCAAAAGATTGTGTCCGCAGTTTTATATGCCTCCTCCAGTATCGATCTTCTTCCAAATAAGTCTTTGGATGAGAAGGACGAATTTAAGAAAGTTAAAGGATGGCAGTATACTTGATCCTTAAGTTGACCCCATAGTCAGCTATCCCTGAAAATATATTTTAAACAGTAGGTGTCCCCAAACAAACCAAAAAAGTTGGGGTCTGGTTTGGAAGCCAAAGTATGATGTGCATTCTTCCAACAAGGACGACTGAGGGTTGGGAATTGGCATCCTTGCAGTTTATTGAGAGCTCACCTGGGGTGGGATGTCAGCTTGGGCCTCAGCCCTGGGCAGGCATGTGAAAGAGTGGATTCGGGTAGAGAATTGGGGTTCACAGGGGTTGGGTTTCAGGAATAATCACTAGCTGTTTCGTCTTGGAAATTCATTTATTTCTCTGAGTGTCACAGGTAAAATGGAGAAAACAAAACCAATCCCACAAAATTGTTGTAAGAATCCCACGTAATAAAGAAGATAAGGAAATCTTTTATGATATATAATACATGATACATAAACAAAATATTTTTATCCATACATTATATTTTTATAATGGCCATTCGCTTTGCTCTAAATCCTCACCCCTCCCTTTCTTCATGGCTATCTAAAGCTAATCTCTCCCTCAATATTCAGGATCCTAGTGTTTCTCCTTTCTTATCAGTCCTGACTCCTCCACTTTCACCTTCAGTCATTAGTTTTCCCTCTTTCTTCACCAGTTTCTGTCCCTCTGCTACACCCACGTTCAGCCACCTCCCGACCCGACCCGACTCCATCCTAATCTTTTTTTCATTCAACCCTGGAAATAATGTATGTAAAAGCTGAGATATCATTAATGACTTCTCACAGCCTACTTAGTAAAATCCCTATTTCGGCCTGAAACTCTCGCCTAAACCAGTTAGACAACTTTTTCTTCCACTATGTTTGCTCAAGCAACAGGTCTGTTTACTGTTCCTGGTACCTTTCACGCAGTCCTCCCTGTGTCCTTTGCTTGTGCCATTTCTCCTGCCTGGAGTACCCTTTGCCCTACTTCCCTTTGACCGAAAAATCCTGGTTAAGTTTTCAAACCTCTTTGAAGCTTTCACAGCCCTGCCTTGGTGAGCCACACATTCCTGTCTGCACCATTCCTGAATGCACGTGGCCCTCACTTGCTACGTCTCCCACTGTTACACTTCAAGGTCTAACTAAATTATAAACCCATTGTGGGAAGAGCATATGTGTTTTAGCTCAGGTGTCCCCAGCAGCCAGCCAGCACAGACCACCATAAACATCTGTTCCACTCCTGGGGCTGTCCTAGCTTGAGGCACCCGCGTGATGCTACATTTGGATTGTCAGAGGATGGTTTCTTAGAAAGCAGGTCTAGAACAGTTAGAACAAGCTGTATAAAACCAAAGGCTACCCTGCTTTTATTTTTTTTACTTTTTTTCTTCAGTGAAGTTAAAATTAGGTCCAGTCGGTGAAAGTCTCAGTGTGATTAGGAGTAGCTACTCTTCCTTTTTCACCCTTAAATTGTTAAACATCCTTTTTTTTTCCCTAAAGGAGGAAGAGCCTAACAATGCAATGAGTAAAGAGCGACAAGAGTCTTCTATAAAATCGAAACTGTTAAGACTGCAGAGAGATATTGAAAAAGCCTCGAGAGACCAGGAAGGTGTGTAATGACTCTGTGGATGGCCCAGGAAGGGGGAGGATTCTACTGGGAGGTTCCATTCAGAGTTAGGGTGATCCTGCTTTTGCTCATTGGGAGGGGATCATCTCATTTAGAGAACCATATGTCAAACCTAATTTATGTGAATTAAGAAAAATAAAAAAGAAGAAAAGAGAGAGCAAAAAGTGGAAAATGACATTTGGTCTGTCTGTGAGAGCTATATAAGTACTATACCACCATTTCCAGAAATGTAGCATTTTACTGTGTTTCTGAAATTGGCTGGAATGAGGGACAATCCATCTGTTTCAAAACATGGTAAACCTCTTGTGCACAGGGCTTTTGGTTTCTCATTTCTTTTTAAACTTACTTTCTGAACGATGTGAAAAATCACTAAAATCAAATCCTACACTTAGAAGTTAGGCATGCTAGAATGTACAGCAGCACTAAAACGATACAGATAATAAAAACGACTCCACACTTCTGATTCTCATATGTGTGGCTTCTTTTATGTGGAACAGAACAACCTATTGCAATGTAATACTTGATCGAAAATCCAAGAGAGCAAAATGATTACAAATGTAAATACCACAGCAAAGGAGAGCTTACCATTACGGTAAATGTCAGGAATCCTCCGTGGAATGGGTCAGCAAGGAGGATTCATAAGCTCATCTTGAAAAATAACAGTCAAGACACTTTAAACACCAGTATTTCTCAGATTTCATTAAATAAAAGTGAAGGTCACCCATTTAGTAAAATTTAGTAACAACTACATACGGAAACTGCCCTAATGGTTTAGGAAATTCTTCTGGGCTCAGGGCCCTCTGAGCGTGACCTCTTCTCAGCTGTGTCCCCTTAGGACAGGCTGAACAGTGACTGAGAGCATGACTTCATTTTCAGGCCTGGGACGGATGCTGAGAGCATACTCGAGTGACTCCTCCTTCTCAGATGCGGACAGTCAGAGATCAACAGCGGCCTTAATGGACGAGGTACATATTTGCAGAGTGCAGTTTCCTAGATTTAATGATGAAAGAGTTATTTTTAGAATGCTTGTTTTCTGGCCCATTTGACCTCTGTTTGCCTTTCCTTTCTCATGACACAGAACGATCTAGTCAGAGAGCTTGTACGGTCAGCTCCTGGACAAATAGTTTGAGAGATCTGGGAAAATCTAACTACTTGGAAATGTTCGCTTGAGTATCCTCCCAGGAAGAGAATTGTGCCTAAAATAGAATTCCCCAAAATAGAATCATTCTTTCAGGATCTGGAAACCATGTGTACTTTAACCCAGTTAAGAAAAGTGACCAAAAACACAGGGTCTGCATTCAGAAAGGTCTGTATTTAGATCTAGCTCTGCTGTTCACAGGGACCTGGGACGGCTTTAGTTTTCTGGAAAGTAAAATGGCAATATTGGTACCTACCTCAAGGGTTTTTGTGCCAATGAAATATTATCTAGAATATGCCAGCACCATGTGCAGATGAGAGCTCAAAAACTGTTAACTGTTATTAAAATGGTGTTTTCCATTCATTCCTCAGCTAACATCAGGGTCTTCTGAGAATAACAGGAGAAAGAGATGTGACCACACAGAAGGAAGAGGGTAGTCTGGGTGTGAGGTGAAAGCTTTTGGGGAAGCAAGGAGCAGCTTTAGAGGCTGAGGTTGTTTTGAGGGGAGGTGGGTGTTCTGTGGGGATTGATGGACAAGGTGGCCACTTCAGAGGTACTCGCATCAACAGGGGAATTAGCAAAGGTCCGTGCATTTTATAGAGGAATAAAAGCAAACAGATATACATCACCTATGTGTGCAAGATAAGGGTTTTCTGCTGTGATCAGAGTGAGAGGAAGTTGATTGGGGTTAATCTAAGAAAACTTCAGGAAGAAATACAATTTTTAGCCATGTTTTGAAGGATACAGGAAACTAACCTGGGCCTGCTTTCCTTCCCTTCATATAGCCTAACAATTCTCTTCTGACAGTAGGTACCTAATGATTCTGTCCAAATGGGCAATTTCAATCATTCTTTGGTGAAAGTAGGCAGATGCAGCCAGATATATTTTATCTATTTTTTAGCAAAGGCTTCCTTTATTGGTGGCACTGTTGCAGAAACAAACCTAATGCTTCTTGGGAAAAGAAAGGCCTGAATTCTGTTCACTTGGGAACAGAGGTATAACACATCTGCAATGACACACAGCTACAATTTTTATGAAATGATAAAACAGACGATAGGATGTTTTCTGTGACAGCACAAAATGTTTCATTAACTAATTTGATGCAAATAATATTTGCCATAATAAAGTCATATAGAGCATTTTATGATGGCATTAAGTTATGTTTATTTCCTTGGTTATTCTTGCATAGAACTTTGTCATTGTCATTACCAGCATAGAACATGTATTAGGATCATCAGGGTACATACTGGCCAGATTCACACAGTGGAGGATGCAAGGCGGGAGAGGATCTGACTTCTGAACTCCTGGTGCTTACGATCTAGTGATGGAACAAATATAAACCTTCAAAAGGTGGATGCCAAATATCCATGTAACTTCATTGCACACCTCTGCACTTAGTAGAATGAAACTTGTGATACTGGTAGATTTCATGTTACCCAGGTTTCTTGCAGGAGGAAACTCTCTTTCATTTAAAGACTTCCTAATTCATTGTCTCTTCGTCCTTGAAGCATCACATTTGAAGCGAGAATCTTGGCAAGGCATGTTTGAGAAACTCTTGTGGAAACTGGAGGTATTTAAGATAGACATTGTCTTCAGATAGTGGAAGGAGTGCCACATAGAAAAGGAAAGAGACTTGCTCCGTGATGCTCTCAAATGCAGACTAGGTCTAGTGGCAGAAGGTAGGGGGAACTTTTGATTTCACCTTAGATAAAACTGCCCCACAATGCAGTGGATTGTTCAAGGCGTTAGAGCTCTTCCCCATCAGTTGGAGGTGTCTGGTCCATGGCTGTGACCCCCTGGCAGGGATGTTAGGATTAGGGATCCCCATGCTTCAGGTGTGGAAAACAGAGAGAGAAGGGAGGAGGAGATTGAATGAGCAGGCCCCTTCCAATGTTTAGATTCTGTTATTTGATTTATCCTGACTGAACACAGTCTGAGAAAGAAATCATTATAAACTTTCTAGCTCAAGGTTAAATTGAGAACAGGAAAAGACTAGGAGTGTATCTTTAGCTTCACTCTTTGTTTTTGTACTCAAATATCCCAGAATATTGTTTCCAGTTTCCAGATGAGTTACTGCAAACTTTCTAGGTAATATAAGACCTTGCCTCTTCAAGAAAAACCATAACATCAACAACAACAACAACAACAAAAACCTCACTTCATATCACTTTAGTTTGATTCTGTTGATATAAGGTCAGTTCTGTTCACAATGTTGAGCGCCTAGGGCTCAATTGCCTTTCTGCAAGGCCCTCCAAAAGTCACCTTCTGCAATCAACACTTGTTATTCCCTTTCTCATTCCTCAGCAGAAAACTGAGTAAAGCTATTCATTGCCACAATGTACTGAGTAATGTATCTGTCAAGGTTCCCGGCTTACCCTGTTTACAAGAGCCCAGAATAAGACTTACTCAACAACTAAGGCTTTCCTCTAGACTGCTTAAATGGTTCATTTTTTTCTCTCTTCAGCATTTTCCGTGCATATCTGCACAGGAGTTGAATGTGTACTTTTCTAGACCTCTTTGTCATTTTGGAAGTTATCCTAGTATATCCCTTTACCCACCCAGTTGTGCCTCATTTTCTGGAAATTTACTCACATGGCCAAATGATGTATCCACAGACAAATTTGAAACTAGACCTTTTGCAAGCAAACTCCTATAAACTGTCATCAGTGTTAGCAGAACTTGAGAAAAGACCTCAACCCAGCCATCCCTGTAGTAACTCCATCTTCAAGTGGAAAGAAAAGGTAAAATTTTAAGAGATTGATTGTAATTTCTTGACTTGGCTTGCTGGATGGAATGGCTTAAAGAGCATCAGGGCAAAAAAGCTGTTATGAATTGTATGTGCCATGTGTCCCAAATCCCACTTGCAGAATTTTAAGATAAATTTATTTTTTTCCTTTTAAGCACAGTAACAAGAGCTAAATACAAATGAATATTTCTTTGTAGACTAAGTTAATATAAGTTAAAAACACTTTAGATTCTTTCTTCTTCCTCTTCATACTTTGACTTTATCCTTTGAACATGAAATTTGTATTAAATCAAAATTTTAGTATTCACACAGACCTAAATTGTAAGATTTTGTGACATGCGTTACTCTCATCCATTTAACACAGTATATAATGTAGGTAATGCATGAGTACAATTTTTAAAATTCACACACACGTATTTTCCCAGGGTTACACTCTTTAGGAATTGATGGTGAGCATGTGAATATACTGGGTAGCTATTGCTTGTAGCTGTTTTCCATTTCCTATCAGAAGGGGGAGCTATAACCATCTTGCGATGAAGAGACAGTTTTCTTTCTAAGAAACTCAAGAGTTCTAAAACGATCTCATTTAGACAAAATCATGATAATTTCACTTGCATTAAAGCCAATTAAAGTTGAATTTGTAGAAATAGTGTTGAAAATGTTATTATTTGACCTTGAGGTGCAGGTCAGAATTGCAAACACAGGCTATAAAATATGGTAATTTTCTAATTCTGAAAATATTACAGCTTCAGAAGCAAGAAAGCTCTAGAGTAGGATTTAGAAATATGTTGAATAATTTATTTATATCCTCCTCCAAAAAGTTAGAAAACAAGTTCCTGAGGAAAATAGCTGCAGCAGAATCACTTTTCATAAATACTTTTGATGACAGTGTTGTTAAAATGACTTTTTTTTTTTTAACTATTTGAACAGCAGCAGACACATAGTTATGTAAAAATATCTCGGCCTTTTCTGATGAAGAGATTAGGGAATGTCGTGAGCAGGGCGTCTTCTGAAGGGCAGAGAATTCCAAGTTCTTCATCTACAGGTAATCCCACGCCCAGAATAATTTTGGGCTGGGTCCTTTCGGTAAAGCACATGGCTACATTCACGTTTTATTTTTAGAGCCACATTGACATATATTGGCTCAGAGAAATTTGCATTTCCATTAGAATTGATTAATCTGTTAGAATTTGTGGCTTTCTGTGCAAATGTAATCCAAAAGGCGGGGAGGAGTGAAGAAGAGTGGTGGGAGGGGAAAAGAATTTTACAGTATGAAAAGTTGCCTCAGGTGACTGATACCCATGTTGTTCAGACAGACTGTGATTTGCTGCCCCTACAGTCACCCCTAAACCATCGTGAAAAACTCTGCAGCTCTGTCTCTACAACCTTCTCCAAACTTCCATGGAAATCCCGTCCTCTCCGAGAGAAAAACACAGTGACCCCAAGGCCTACCCAACACCTTTATCCAGCTGTCTGACTTTAGTCATTTGTCCATCCACGCCACTGCCCTTCACCTTTCAACACACACACACACACACACGCACACACGCACACGTCATTGTCCCTCACTGTTCAACTATGGTCACCAGAACCTTGATTCTCTAGTTTCTTGACTAGAAATTGGCAAAAAAGAGTTTCAGTAAAACTCAGAACATTATGGTCAGATGGTATATTAAAGGTTTACCATTGCATTGTTTGAAAAACAGTTCTGTAAATACCTAAGGTTGATGGTAAGAAGCACATGCTCCGAGTGTCCACTATACCTAAATGGCAAAACCGATGTATGTCTCCTAAAACGTGCGTACAACTGCCACAGATATTAGCTAACTGGTGTGGACTAAACTCACGTGGGAAACAATTTTAAGTTATTGTCTTTGTTATTTATTACTACAAGACAATAACTTTACTACAATAACTTTTTTCTGCATACTTATTATTTTCTATATTATAGTATGGTTTTTGGTTATATAATATACACAGTCCATACACATCACAGGTACATCATAAATGGTTATTGAATCAAGGAATGGTTATGGAATCGATTACATAAAATTATAAACTTTCCTTTGAGAAGATGTCAATATATTCAAATTCTGAACCACACTGTTAAATAACTAAAGAGCTTCTGATCACATTCATTGTGCCTACTGACACCACATTAGTAATTACAACTTCATCCAACTTTCAGCCTCCGGTGCAGCCCAGCTCGGCAATGGTCTCTGCAAGGCCTTATATTCTTTTCAAGCCAGGCAGGATGATGAATTGAATTTGGAAAAAGGTAAGAATCATTCTCAAATAGTTTAATTGCTTTGCCATGTTGGAAGCCTTAACTTGAATAAAACTCCTATCTTACTATGGCAGCCTTAAAAGTTCCTGCCATGTCTAATCAGTTCAGCTTCATAATCACCCTTCTTAGAAGATGGACATAAAGCACATCAAAAATTAAAGCTCATTGGGGCTGGCCCCGTGGCCAAGTGGTTAAGTCTGTGCGCTCCGCTGCAGGCGGCCCAGTGTTTCGTTGGTTCGAATCCTGGGCATGGACATGGCACTGCTCATCAAACCACGCTGAGGCAGCATCCCACATGCTACAACTAGAAGGACCCACAACGAAGAATATACAACTATGTACTGGGGGGCTTTGGGGAGAAAAAGGAAAAAATAAAATCTTTAAAAAAAAAAAATTAAAGCTCATATAATAATAATAGCTAACATTTAAATCAGCGTTTATTGTGTGCCAGGCATTGTTGCAAGCACACTGTCCAATTTAATATTCATAAGAACCCTTTGAAGCAGATATTGTTATATATTCCCATTTTATTGCTGAGGAAACTGAGGCACAGAAGTACTTTGGCTAAAGTCACAGGCAGCAGCAGCACGAGCTCTGAACTCGGAAACTCCGTCATGCTCTTACTCGCAGCGTTATACTGGGGTAGAAGGTCAGTAAAGGAAAGTCATTAGAGATGCGGCCCCATCTTCTTCTTTTTCAGAAAGCTAAACACACAGGAATGGGAAGCGAACTCCTCTCATGGCTTAGCGTAAGAGCAAGTTCTATAGCCCAGGTCAGGGGGCTCCCAGCTTAATGTTTCTCCCACTTATTTCTTAGAAAAGTGTTTTATGACCATTCTACAGAATCAGAGCCTCTTCTTTGTGTCAGAGATTTTTGTTTAACATGAAAAGGTATTATGTAATGGGTTATGTGGCCTCAACAGTGTTGAATAAGAAAACGTCACCAGCCTCGACTTTTTTTGTGTGTCCAGCTAGCAACCACATTTGGAGGTTAAAGCTAAGGCGGAGATCTGGAAATGAAAAGGTTGGTGAGAAAGAGTTGTGTCTTAGGAAATAGCTTGTTATCCATGACCGGCACGTGGTGCTCAGGGCCAACAGAAAGTCAAGATGCATTGTGCAGCCAAACAACACGGACGCCACGTATTTGCTACTGGTTAGTGGGTACCTCCTTTCAGTTTGCCAGCAAGATTTCTCCAGGCAATTCCTTTTCCTTCCAGTTCAGAAATTAGTAAAGACAAGAAAAAAGGAAATAGAAAACAGATCCTCTCCTGCATTCATCTTAAATCAATGTTGCCTTCATTTGAAGGCTTTCAGTGTTGTAGAAGTCACCTCGTTACTCATGTCATCCTAAGGGATCCTATGGCAGTAAGTGGGTAAATGAAATGCTGTATTCCCACTTTCCATATGAATAAAAAACACATTTCCCAGATGCCACCTAGGACCCAGGGTGCTGAGTTTGAGTTGGGTGACTATGTAAGTGCTTTCTTCAGATGAAATGAGACCCTGGAGGCCTAGGGAAGCTGGCAATAAGGTTTTAAATTATTTGTTTGAATTCCTGTCAGTAAATTGTGTCAATCTACTGACCTGAGAGAACTCCGTAGAGGGAGGTCTGAGACTGAGAATGATCTCCTACACGAAGAAGCAGTGATCTCTGACTAGCAGAGATGGAAGGGAGTTTAACAGTCCCCTTTGCCTTAGAAAGAAAATTACTGGGGAAAAGAAAGAAAGAAAGAAAGACTGAAAAATTACCTCAGAAATGATGCTAAAGGCAAAGTAGCTCATGGATCCCCAAGGAAGCACATGTCTCCACTTTGATGTGCGGGGAGCAGCCAGAGAGAAAGGACTCTTACACAGAGAGGTGCTTAGCCAGAGGATGTGGGACACCAAGTTAAGCTTCAGGGTTATTAATATCAGAATAGTATTTTAAAAAAATAGAGAATTGGAGAAGAGCCTGGTGTTTCTTAGGCATTCTAGTTATTGGAATCATTACTTTAGAAAAGTATTGTCTTGGGGCCAGCCCAGTGGTGTAGTGGTTATGCTCGCATGCTCCGCTGCAGTGGCCTGGGGTTCAAGGGTTCAGATCCTGGGCACGGACCCACACACTGCTCATCAAGCCATGCTGTGGTGGTGTCCCACATATGAAAAATAAAGGAACATTGGCACAGATATTAGCTCAGGGACAATCTTCCTCAAGCAAAAAGAGGAAGATTGGCAATAGATGTTAGTTCAGGGCCAATCTTCCTCACCAAAAAAAAAGGCGGGGTGTTATCTTCACATTGATATTTTATTAAAGTTATCTAATTTGTTGAATGGGGAGTTATATTTCTGTGCAAAGCTGTGAGTTGGAACTTTGGACTAGAAGCTGGCATGTGTCATGGAGAGAAGCTGTCTTGATCTAAAGAAAAGTCTCATAGCCAAGATGTACTCAAAGTAGTCAACATACCAAATTCTCATGGCCACCAACATGTGAAACTCTTAAAGCACAGACACCAAGAAAGAGTTTGGTGACGACCCATCAGCTATATCCAAAATGAGCCAGGTAGCACAAGAAGGGCATATGATCCAACATAATTCTGTTTTCAATCAAACTATTTTATAGCATAACTCGGTTGTCCATTATTTTACTCTTTTTAGCATTCTCTGCCTTACGCTTGCTTCATACAGAAGCGTTCGGTAAATTTTACTTCATCTGGATCATGTGCAGGCAATGCTACCAAGTAAATCTGAACACAGAATCTCCTTAAAACTGTCTTACCAAGCAGGCTCAGGCATGTGCTCAAACTGCAGAGACCCATTTGTCTAACTGAATGTGTGTTTTCACAGGTGACATTGTGACTATATACAAGAAAAAAGAAGAAGGATGGTGGTTTGGATCTTTAAACGGAAAAAAAGGCCATTTTCCTGCTGCTTATGTGGAGGAGCTCCCTTCAAATGCTGGTAACGCGGCTTCTCAGGCATGAAACAGGCTTCTGAAAGCACCACCTTACACCCTCTGTAAACCATACAATGTGCAAATAAAGATGAATGCTGCGGTCTCTGCAAGTTTATCTTTTAAATGGGTGATGGAGTCCCACCTGCATGTCGCAGAACTCTGCGTCCTTGGTTACTTCCTTGAAACAGAGTCAAAATATGGGAGGTGGGGAAGAGACTCTGCAACCCCTGGAGTTTTTGATTCTGAGAGACCCTAGAGGTGACCCAATCCAGCCCCTGTGTCACACAGAGAGAGACTGAGTCCACAGCAGCTTAAGCCATTTTCCTGAAGTCACATAGTTTTCCAGCAGCACAAGAGAGATTAAGACTTAGGTGATCCTTTCCTCTGACTTGGGTGGCAACAGGCCACAGCAGGCCTGCGAGGGGTCAAGCAGGGCCCTAGAAATGAGGCCAAACACAGGTTAAGTTCAAGAAGAAGAGCTCAGCAGAGACAGGCAGGCAAGACAGACTCAGGTTAGGAGATGGTAGAATAAAGGATCAGGAGATGCGGCCACGATCCCACGTGATCAGAAGAGAAGGTGGTAGATAAGAGACAGATACCAGGGCAGAGGAGCAGGGTAGAATGGAGTTCCATGCTGAGCCAACGACCGTCTGAGGCAGTGGCTTTTTATATACCCTCTGCCTGCAACCAGAATTGCTCTTAGAGTGAGTCTGAGTGTGAGCTGGAGATGGCTGGGGATCTGAGAATGAGAGCAAGGTGGGTAGGAAAGGGTTAGGAAGGAGATAGTGCCTGAAATTTCCTACCTCCTTGCTCGTTTGGAAACTTCATATACTAATTCAGAATCAAAGAATTCTGCACTTCCCGACTAGGTCATTAGGAAAGGAATACCCTAAGCAGCTTCCTAGTAAAATGACCTTTAAATGCTAATGAGTCTCTAGTTTGGATGGAAAGTTCTAGAAACCAACATTCACTATCAAAATGGAATATTTACAGAGAAGAAGATTTATACTGCTTCCTCAAATGCCCTGTAATGGGAAAAGTTTGGGAATGAGAGAAGGTAGTCCCCAACCTCTTCCCAAGGGGAACATTTTAGAATGGACAAAAGTGGTCAGCAACATCTTTCAGAAAATGGCCTAAGGTAGCCTGGAGATCACTCACTCCATTGAATGGAAGGTCAGGATGTTGACAGAAACATCTGGGCATGTTTACTTTGGGGCCAAATAGAGAGTCTGGCATTAAAGGAGTAATTAAAATCCATTCCCTTACTCTCCTGTTCCCTAACTCCTTTTTTTTTTTTTTTAATTTGTCAAATTTTATACTTTCAACCAGGAAATTTTCAAACCAACGTACATGTATTTTTTATACTTTGTACCATTACACTCCTATAGCAGGATATAACTAACACATAGAGATATTATAGATAAAGCCGTCAGACCTGAAGGAACTCAAGTAAAATTTGTTATGGGAGGCATACCTTACAGCCTAGAAGAACAGATCAGAAGTTTTAATGTCATCCTTAATGGTGTATTAACAAAGCCTTTCTGCATGTAGAAAGTTGGCTGAATAAGAGGCCATTAGACCATGAACAGAGATTTCAAATTTATGTTTCCTTTCCATCTTACTTCTTTCCATTAAGCCTTGATGGATAAAAAATGGTGTAGCAATTGACTGCAGCCTACACTGGATCATTTATACAGAGAAAGTGATGATAATAGTGGTAGGACCTGAAACTCTTTGGAAGTAATTATCAAAGCAAGGCACTGCCTCTTTCTTCATAAATCAGTTTTAAAACTGAAAACATAAATGGTCTTCTTGTTTTGGAATGTTGCTGCAAATTCTTTTTGCATCTCTGATATATAATTTTAAACTTCAAAGAAATACAACCATTAAACTAGATAAAAGCCAAATATAATTGGGTATAACAGACTTGTTGAATATCTTGGTAGTAGGGCAAGAATTTTCTGCTGGGACAGATGGGAATGGTGCCCTTTAGATGTAAGTAAAAATTAAGTGCATATTGTGAAGATTAATGATGTCCCAAAGTCTTCCATATAGAATAACTTTTAATATTAATACTTTTAAACTCTTAATTGGGCTTTCATAATTATATTTCACTAAGCAGTTTCACACATCAGGAAGCAACACTAACTGTTTTAGCAACACTAACAACCTGAAATATAGGCAGTAGAGCCAGACTTTCACCAAAAACATCAGAAGGCATTATTCTACTTATTTCCTGTCTAGTAGACTAAAAGATGATGTATCATCACATTATCAACCACAAAGATCTATTAATTTCATTTTTTAGCCTTTTCAATTACCCATAATAGTTAATATTCATAGTGAATATTAAGATCCATCAAAAAATAACATAATATTCAGTTTGGGGTAAAGTAAATTTTATTGTACCGTATGATAAAGCTTTAACTGATTAGTAATTTGAGCATAGATTACCTTTGTTTCTCCCTCCAAGAAAAAATCCTCCTCTCCCAAAGATGCGATGGCCTTGGGGGGAAATCAGCCTGATTCAGAGCAAGAGAAGTGCATTATAATCAAACTAACAACATGTCCTGTTATCCTTGCAATGTTACATAGAAAGAGTGTGTGACCCAGGGAAGACGGGGGCAGTGGGTGTGGGGGGCATGAGAAGGTGAGACTTGGACCTGGACCAGAAGGTAGGGACATGGCGGAGAAGATCAGGAACATTTTGTAGAGAGTATGCAGCTACATGAAAGTGTCAGAGATTCCTGCATGCTGTGATCCACAGTGGAGGGGCTGGGTCCCCGCCTCCCGCAGGGCAGTCACAGGGACAGGAGTAAGAAAACAGCAAGCTAGAGAATCCAGGCTGTGCTTATGCAGATGGAAGCTCAGCTCAGGGAAACTATGTGGACGTGTGGATGCCTGCGGCCTGGGAACGCCTAAGGGAGAGATCCCAGTGGATACTAACCTGATCGGCGTCACAGGAATGTGGAGGAAAATAGCTTTAACCTGAGGTAGGAGTAAATAGACTTGCACAGAATTAGAGTGAAAATCTCTTTCTCAAAGGAACTATGGGATAGGAGAAGCCAAACCCAGGAGTGAAAGCAGACTGAACTGGCTGGACAAAGACCTTGGTTCTAAGGCTCAGGACTAATGACAGAGATCTAGGGACAATGAAGGGAATCATACCAGGGAGTGTCCAGAAGGGACTGGGGCCAGGCTAGCCAGGTATATGAGGTGGCAAAGATGTTACTGATCTCAGTTTCAACTGGCTTGTAAGTTGAGTTTTCCTCACCCTGGGGCAAATGGTAAGTACTTACTCCAGGGATTTTTCCAAGTGTGGTACCTGGACCAGCAGCACCGATATAAACTAGTACTATGTTAGAAATGAAAATTATCAGCCCCCACTTTACACTCAGTCAGAGACCTAGCCATCTGTGGTTCAACAAGCACTCTGGGTGATTCTAATGCAAGTTGCCTGTTGAGAACCACCAGCTTACTTCAATGAATCCTGAGAATGTTGTCTAAACTACATCAGACACACTGGGAAAAGAGCACTGTTGGAGAAAAACTATACACCCAGGGAGCCAACTCTAAAAAAGGAACATCCTTCCTTTTGATCCAGTAAGTTTTTAAAGATGAGTAGTGTTGGGGACCTCGCTGGAGAAGTCTTTCTCCCTTGCAGGGCTGCCCTAGCTAGCGGTCCCTTTTCTTTTTCTTTTTCATGCTCTTCCTTGGCCCAGGGAAGAAGGAATACTTTGGCCTTCATTACACTCTCTCCAAAAAGAACCTTTCTTCTCTTTCTGAGCCACTTACTTGATAATCTCCCTGACAAAAGAACGCATGGTATGCGCCATATCTTGACACTTGAGAATGAGAAGCAAACAGCTCTCCCCACTTCAGTCCATTCCTCTCTACTGCTTATTCGACCCCTCAGCTCCCATCCTCCCATTCGCTCCCTTCTTCTCCACCTTCTCCGTTCTCTGACCATCCTGTTCAGACCTGGTAGACTAGTCCTGCTCAGTTAGGCTCCACGTTACCCAGCTGGGTCTACCTTCTCTGCTCCAGCTGGTCAGACGAAGAAACGTATTATCTACAATTTAGGAGAGAGGAAGAAGAAAGCACCTGTTTACCTAGAATCTAAACTCTGTTCCCCATTTCTGATTTACCATTAATACAACCAATGCTCTTCCCCATTTGGCTCCCTGAGTCTAATCTTTTGAGCAGGAGAAGCAACTACAAATAACTTTAGAGGCCAGGGAGGTAAAATGAATAAATGAAATGGGTCGAATGTCACACTTTAGGAGACAGTGGCAATGGATCGAACTAGAGAAAATATGCCCCACCTAAAGGTGTATTAAAAGTATATAATAGGTAAAGTAAATTTTATTGTACAGTATAAGGCCTGAAATATTGAGCTCTACACTTGTAGGCCAAAATGTTATGATCTTCACTCTCTCCTACATTAATTGGTATTCCTCCACTTCTATAAGGCTTGATGGTGTCCTAATATACTTATCAGAATATTTGATTAATCAGAACATTTTTAACCACACTAGATAAGCTGAACTTGCTGAAATAAACCATAGGATTGTATTGAGGTTCATGACTGAATTTTATGCTTTGGAATTTAACTTCGCTCCAATTTTTTTTTTCAGATCATACTGAATTTTTCTTTTAAACTGATTAATGAATAGCCACAGTATGTAAAGGATAGACACCTAGAATCTCGGGGTCAGGAAGGGACTTCAGAGATTATATAGCCCAATTCATCTATTCACCCACTCATTTATTTGTGCATTTACTCAGCCACTTACCCAGTGAACATTTTAATGGGGAGCTATGTGCCAGATAATGGGCCAAGTAATAAAGATTCAAAAACTAAGTAAACCTAGCCCTACCCTCAAAGAGTTCATGATCTAGTGGAAAAGACAAAAATGGAAACAATATATTGCAATACAATGTAAAACAGTTTGCATGTACAAAATTATGGTTTAATGGCATTATTTTCCATTTCTTTTAAAGCTTTTTTGAGGTATAATTTACACACAACAAAATTACCCTTTTGATTACAGTTGTTGAGTTTGATAAATGTATAGTCTGGCAATGACCATCGCATTCAAGTGTTAAA